TATTGTAGAGATGAGGTCTTGCCTGCCCAGGCGGGTCTTGAACCCGCAGGCTCAGGCAATCCACTCACCTCAGCCTCCCAAAGGCACGGGATGACAGGCTGGGCCACCGAGCCCGGCTTTTTCTTAAAGTTTTATAGAGATGAGGTTTTGCTATGTTGTCCAGGCCGGTGTCGAATTTCTGGGCTCCAGCGATCCTCCTGCCTCAGCCTCCCAAAGTGCTGGGATGACAGGCCTGAGCCACCACACCCGGCCCTCATCCCGTCTACTCTGATGACAGCCAAAAACATGTGTCATGCCCTGCTCTAAGACTTCAGGTGCTTTGATTAAATCGGCTTTGTCCACAGCCCAGGGAGGGGGTGCTATTGTAACCCCCGTTTTACAGATGAAGAAACAGAGACCCAGAGAGGGAAAGCCACCTGTTTGCAGCACACAGCAAGCATGTCCCAGGCTCCCTAGCATCTGGCCCTGGGCAGCCCTCAGCCCCCCTCTGCGCCCCAAGCAAAGCCCAGTTGGGGACTGGCAGTGTGGGTGGGACAGGCCCTGCGTGGAGGACCTTGGGACATTTGGGAGGGGGAGGGAGGAGGCTACACGAGCCAGGGAAGAGGGGATGGGTGGGACAGGCTGTCCACAACGCGGGGGATGCCGGGCGCTCCAGCTCAGTCTGCCGGCAGGCTGGGGAGCCTTTCTGTCGAGCTGGGAGATGCAGGGAATTGGGCCCCAAGCCGGCCCCTTCCCGGGGAGGCCCAAAAGGAACAGCCTCGGAGGTGCGCATGCTCGGAGGTACCGCCTGGCTAGAGGGGCGTGACGCTGAAAAGGCCGGAGGGGTCCCATGCACCCACATCCTGGGGCCCAGGGGAGCCAGGGAGGGTGTTAGAGCCTCCCCAGGCCCCCGGGCCTGGAGGCTCGAGGAAGGCCCAGCACGTCGGGGCAGGAGAGAGTGGAACGTCAGGCTCTCCTTCCACCCCGGCCTGGAAGCCTGGTTCTCCTGGGGTGCCTCAGCCGGAGGCCGTCCCCTCTGAAAGGGGAGGCCCTCCATGCCGCCCTCCCAGCTAGGACTCACGCAGGCCTGGGCTTGAATTGCGGTGAGCTGTGTGTCCTCAGGCAAGCGAATCCGCCTCGCCGAGCCCCCTGTTCCCGTGACACCCTCCGCCCTCTGTCCACAGCGAGATTAACCGCCTGGATCTGGGGCTGACCGTGGAGGTGTGGAACAAAGGACTCATCTGGGACACGATGGTGGGCACCGTGTGGATCCCGCTGCGGACCATCCGCCAGTCCAACGAGGTGGGGGGGCGGCCGTGGCGGGGGGCCGGGGGAGGCTCGGGGCTGGTGGCCTGAGGAGGGTGGGCATTGGTCCCCCTGTGGAGACGTCCGTGGAGACACCCAGGCTCGCCGTGACAGCTTGAAGGGGCCAGGACCAGAGCCCTTCCACTCCGTGGCTGTGTTTTTCCCCCCATGTGGCTTCACCTCGTGGCCTCAAGCAGCTGCCTGAGGCTCAGCCCTGCACCTACGTCCCGGCCAGGGGAAGGGGGCGAGGGAGGGGGCTTGGGCCTTCGGTGAAGGGCCCGACCTGGAAGCGGCTCAGGTCACGTCACTCGCATTCCATGGGCCAGAACCCAGTCATATGGTGGCGCCCAGCTGCGAGGGGTTCTGGGAAACGTCCTGGGCTGGTGCAGCCCTGGGTTCCGCTGAAAACGTACTGCCATGGGAGAAGAGAGGGGCTGGGCACGGTGGCTCAAACCCGCAATCCCAGCACTTTGGGAGGCCGAGGTGGGAGGATCGCTCGAGGCCAGGAGTTCGAGACCAGCCTGGGCCACACAGCAAGATGCCAGCTCTAAAATAAATAAGCGAAGTGGGCACATAACTCTTGTCCTTGGGGAGGAGAGGATGGCCGGGAAAGCAGGAGACCTGCCGGTGGGCAGGGGCCTGACCCCCCTGCCCCTAACCCCAGGAGGGCCCTGGCGAGTGGCTGACGCTGGACTCCCAGGTGATCATGGCGGACAGTGAGATCTGCGGCACCAAGGACCCCACCTGCCACTGCATCCTCCTCGACACGCGCTTTGAGCTTCCCTTGGGTGAGTGGGGGGCATGGGGGAGGCACCAGCCCGGCGCCCGGAGTCAGCCAGTTCCTCCCGGCATGGGAGGGGCCCATTGGGTCCAGCTGACCTTTCCCACGGAGGATGAGGGTCCCCGACCTGGAGGATGGGTTTCCCGGAGGACGGCGAGTCGGTGCTGGACCTGCCGTGTCCTCCCTGCAGGATCCCAAGGGTACACACGGAGACCAGGGCGGAGCGCCCTGCTGGGCCTCAGGGATGCCTTGGGGTCAGGGGTGAGCTGGGGACACAGATAGACAGAGAGAGACACAAAGCGACAGAGAGACAGAGGCATGTAGAGACAGACGGAGGCAGAGAGACAGACATGGAGGGACAGAGAGAGGCAGACACAGAGACACGCAGAGACAGAGGCAGAGAGAGAGAGACCCATAGAGACAAAGAGAGACACGTAGAGACAGACAGACACAGAGAGACAGAGAGAGCTCTCTCTTTTCTGGAGGCGCCCTGGGTCTCACCACATCGTCCTTCTGAGAACCCCTGGCAGGCTGGGCGTAGCGGCTCTCGCCTGTTGTCCGGCACCTTGGGCGAGGTGAGAGAATTGCTTGCAGCCAGGAGCTTGAGACTGGCTTGGCAACGTAGCAAGACCCCATCTTTATAAAAAATTTGGCTCAGCCTGTCATCCCGCGCCTTTGGGAGTCTGAGGTCTGAGGTGAGTGGACTGCCTGAGCCCGCGGGTTCGAGACCTGCCTGGGCAGTGAGACCTCATCTCTACAATAAGTCAAAAAATCAACTGGGCGTGGTAGCGCACGCCTGTAATTCCGGCTACTTGGAAGGCTGAGGCGGAAGGATCGCCAGAGCCCAGTAGGTCGAGGCTGCGGCAGCCGGGAGCGGCCACTGCACTCCAGTCTGGGCGACCGAGTGAGACTCCGACTCAAAAAAAAAGAAAAAAAAAATTTTTTTAATTGGCCGGGCGTGGTGGCTCAAACCTAGCACTTTGGGAGGCCGAGGTAAGAGGATTGCCTGAGCTCCAAGGTTCGAGACCCGCCTGGGCAACTTAGTGAAACCCCATCTCTACAATAAATCAAAAAACTAGCCGGGTATGGTGACACATGCCTGTAATTCCGGCTACTTGGAAGGCTGAGGCGGAAGGATGGCCGGAGCCCAGCAGGTTGAAGCTGGGGTGGCTGAGAGTGTGCCACTGCACTCCAGCCTGGGTGACAGAGTAAGACTCCAACTCAAAAAAAAAATTTTCAAGGTAGCCGGGTGTGGTGACATCTGTGTTCCCAGCTCCTTGGGAGGCTGAGGTGGGAGGACCTCCCGAGCCTGGGAGTTCAGGATGTGGTGAGCCATTGTCACGCCGCTGTCCTCCAGCCTGGGGGACCCGGCGAGACCCGTCTCTCAGAGAAACAGCAGCAGCAGAGCCCACGCGTCTCACCATCCTGATGCCTGGGCCCGCCTGCCCTCCCCGTGTCCGCCACCTGTCCTAAAGGGAGCGGACGGCGGTTGGGGCCGGGGCGCCTATCCCCCCTCCAAGTGCCCCATCCGCCCCCCTCCCAGCCTCTGCCCAGGACCCTGGCAGCCACGGGGGTCGGAGCCTGGCAGACCTGCCTGGCGGAGGCCCAGGGGCCCGTGGGGGCCTCCAGGCTCACCGCCCGGCCTCCCCTTGCAGACATCCCCGAGGAGGAGGCACGCTACTGGGCCAAGAAGCTGGAGCAGCTCAACGCCATGCGGGACCAGGACGAGGTGAGCAGCGGGCCGGCCCCGCCTGACCCTCGGCCCTCCGGGAGCCTCTCCCGGCCTCTGTCTTCCTGGCTCCTCGTAACCCGCCTACCTGTGACTCCCACCCACAGGAGCCCTGCGTCCGCCAAGCCCCCTCGACGAACAGAGCGGGGCTTTCTTTACTTTCCAGACACAGGGTCTCACTCCATTGCCCAGGCTGGAGGGCAGGGGTGCAGTCCCAGCTCACTGCAGCCTCCGGCTCCTGGGCTCCAGCGGTCCTCCTGCCTCAGCCTCCAGAGTAACTAGGACTACAGGTGTGTGCCACCACACCCCAGTAGTCTTCTTTATTTTTCGTGGAGATGCGGCCTCGCTCTGTTGCCCAGGCTGGTCTCAAAAATGCCTGGAGCCGGGCTCGGTGGCTCAGCTGTAACCCCGCACCTTGGGAGGCCGAGGTGAGTGGATGGCCTGAGTCTGCGG